TACGTCAATTATAAAATTGTTAGCTGTTAGCCATTATTATCTATTAAATTAATGCAAAGTGGTCAAGTTAAAGTTTGTGGCAGAAGCATCAATTTCATTAAATAAAAATTAATTATTTACTAATTTTTAATCATTCTTGAGTAGTCCTTTCTCTCTCAAGTTAATATTTTTATATAATAGAGTAGTCCTTTCTCTCTCTTAGTTGAATATTCATTCTCATTTCATTTTAATTCTCCAAACTTAAAATTAAATGTTTAATTATTTTTGAATTCATTAGAACTAATTAATGAAAAATATAATTAATAGTGTATACCCAAATCACCCGTGCATCGCTCGATCAATCAATCCAGTTGAATAAAAGATGTTGATCTTACGGGTCAATCAAATTGGACCAATTCAATAAGTGATTACATGGAGGCTATCTTATGTCTGGAAAGCATGGATGCATATTTCGGTTTCGTTCGGGATGACTTTGTTACAGTTTTTTAATATAAAAATTTTAGTTTTTAAACGAAAAAGTTGTTTTAAGAAGCAGTAAAAAAGCCGTTCAAAACGAAGCTTTCAAGGGACAAACGAAAAGAAAATAATAAAAAAATAGAACAAAAATTATTTTGAACTTATTTAATTGATTAAAAAAATTCAGTGAAAAATATAATTTGTTTATTTGATTGATTAAATTTTAAGTTTTTAGTTTTTGTGAGAAAAAAGATATGCATCGCCTATTAATTATATAAAATAAAACACTAAAATAAGAAATTATGAAATAAAATACATTTGGTTTCCCTCTAATTCCTTCAAACCAAACACATGCAATATAACTATATAAGCATTAAAAAAAAGGCATTTCATATTCAAAGGCAACTGCTTTAAAATTTAATGAATATAAATTCTCTTCATCTGAGGAAATAAAAAATAAAAACCAATCAATGTTAAAAATTCATCTAACAAAAGAATAATATCTTAATTAAAATTTAATCAGAATGAATTTAAAAATTCTTAAATTAATGTCAGGACAACTGTAATATAAAAATTGATTAAAGTTAATTATTTATATATTTTATTTACATCAAAATAAGTTTAAAATTTAAAATTCTATTATAATCAAAATTTGACGAGAATATTAGGCCTCTATTTTGTTTCATAGCTCTGTTTTGTATTTTATTTTATTTTGCTTCACAGTTAAGTTTATATATATATATATATATATATCTTTCTCATTCAGTGCTGCAACGATAAAAGGGAAGAAGATATCATCGTACATCACCTCATTTGCCTGAATTTCAGTAGAATATACAGATCTCTTCTGTCAATGAGGAAATTTCCCTATTTTGCTTGCAAATGCTCCCTATAAAGCTTTGGTAAGGTCATAGTATGTCAAGTAGGGATGTCAATTCGGGTCAACAGATTGGGTTTGGGCCCAACACGAGTTCACTAGAGCATAAATAGGTTGACCTCCGAATCTGACCCGGTTTTACAAATGGGTTGGAATTTTCAACCCAAACCTGACCCGTGTGGGTTACGGGTTGACCCGACCTGATCTGTGAACCCGTGAAGAATGTTAGGGGTGTCAATTTCGGGATACGGGTCGGGTTCGGGTCGACCCGACCCATTTTTTGCAAATAGGTCTATTTTCTGGATCCGAACCCGACCCATTTCGGGTTCGGGTCCGCGGACAGGAAACTGATGCGGAATTGGCCGGCTGCAGCAGGGGGCCGACGAAACTGGCCGTGCGATGCGGAACTGACGCCTGATGCTGGACGCAGGGCGCGCGCGAGAGCAACGCGGGGAACACGCAAGGTGGCGGCCGCGCCGGTCGAGCTCGAGGGCTCGACTCGGGGCCTTCGCGAGGGCTCGACCAGTTCTCGACCAATTTAATTTAATAGCTCTAATATTAAAAAAAAAAAGTTTTACAGAAACATGTCAAACGCAATAACATGCTGTAAATAAAATGACAGGAAACATTTTAGCCCATTGGTCCTCTAATTAAGAGGAATAAGACAAATGCCTATCTCACGAACAATTATTACGTCCTCCGACTGGACGTAGAGGAACGTTCGGTCGGAGGCAAATTCCCGCCAAAAAACGAGTTGTACCGAGCAAATATCGAGCAATACCAAACAATAACGAAGAATACCATCATTTGAAGACCCAATACCGAGTTATACCGGGCTTTACCGAGCAAATACCGAGTTATACCAAAGTTGTACCGAGTTTTTCCCAAAAAAACTCGGTACAACTCGGTATTTCTCGGTACAACTCGGTATAACTCGGTTTTGGTCTTCATAGAACGATATTCTTCATTATTATCAAATAATACCTAGTTGTACCAAGCAAATACCTAGTTTTTGGACGAGAAATTACCTGCGACCGGACGTTCCTCTACGTCCTTGCACCGAACGTAATAAAAGTTCCTATCTCACATGGATTAGAATTAATACATTTCTCGCATGGTTAGGCTATTATTTTGCCCCAACTATTCGTTAAAGAAAGCTGTGTGATCATGAAAGTATCTCAGCGCCGCCAAAGCACAGACAACCATAAACAACTGCAGTGGATATTCTTGCCTTATTCAAATAGCAAACTAATATAGTACTTCTAATTATAAAGACCACAGATTTTAAAAGTTGATGAATGCTCATTTTGGGATGGCTTTCTTACTGCTTCTTAAAGCAATTTTTTAGTATAAAAATTTTAACTTTCGTACTAAAAAGTTGATTTAAGAAGCAATAAGAAAGTTGTTCCAAACGAAACCGAAATTCCAAAATTTCAGAATCTTGTCGGAACCCATTTGCGTCACTGCAATAAATTCATTAACTTTTTTTTTTAAGCAGCTTCCAAATTTTTTATTACCAAATGATTTAATTGTCCACTCTATCCATACAAGTTTGGTTCTTCATACCAAATTAGTTGATTTCATAAAACAATGCACTTAAGAACCACCATCCCAAAACGGATAGAATAGGGTTTATTTATCATGAGATAGGCATATTTTAAACCATAAAGTTTGGCAACAATACTTGCGAGTCAATAACAAATGCCAACATCAAAGGCAAGGAATTATGAAAATGAGTATATGCAAGTAAGCTACCTACATCATGTTTTCATAAGCCAGTTCATCTAAAGAAATAAAAAAATAAAACCATCAATGTTAAAAATTCATCCAACAAAAAGATAATATCTTAATTAAAATTTAATCATAATGAATTTAAAAATTCTTAAATTTATTTCAGGATAACTGTAATATAAAAATTGATTAAAATTAATTAATTATATATTTTATTTACATCAAAATAAGTTTAAAATTTAAAATTCTATTATAATCAAAATTTGACAAGAAAATTAGGCTCCCTAATCCCTGTAAAGGATTAGGAAGGTCATGGCATGTCAGGTGAGTTCTAGAGCTGAATAATAGCGACAGCCGCAAATCAGTTTGAATGTTTAACATAAACAATGCAACTCATCTCAGTCTCTTGGTTAGGAAAATTTTTTCAGTGGGAACATCAATCGACATCCGGAGACTAATCAGAACGTGTTACATCACTTTCTTATTCGGTGCCAGTGCGAGACGCGTTCTATTTGGTCTTCGGATCATCCGGTATTAGCACATAATAATTTCTCCTTAGTTAGGATATCTAACTACTAAGGTCATCTGCTAATCGAAAAACATATTTTCTGCTACAAAATATAATGAATTAACTCATGTTCAACCAAACTCTATTTCTTAACATAAAAAAGAGCATTATGTATAAATTCTCTCTCAACTAATTTTTTTTTTAAACGAGTCGCTGATTGGTGTCGCACTGTTCACTTTGAGATATTGTTGCATGATTTAGAGTTCGGTTGGAGTTGTCGGTGAACTGCATACGTGCGTAAAGCACACGGTTGGAGATGACCCAACTAAGAGATATTGGATTTAATGCTTGTTTATATGATATATGTGCCAATTCAATTTAATATTACAGAAACATGTCAGACATGCAATGACATGCTGTAAGTAAAAACACAGGAAACATTTTAGCCCATCGGCCCTCTCATTAAGAGGGATAAGACAAATGCCTATTTCCCAAGGACTTGAATTACTATACTTTAAGCATGAAGTAAAAAAATTATTCTGTGTGAAGATCAGATGACATCTGATGTGATATGTTCTGATTGATCTATGAATTATTTGGTGTCCGCGCAGATTATTTTCTCCATGAACAATCATCCCAAACCTAATAGACTAGGGTTATCATCATGAGATAGACATATTTTAAACCAAAAAGTTTGGCAACAATACTTGCCAGTGAATAACAAATGCCAACATCTATAAACTTCAAAGGGAAGGAAATATGAAAATGGGCATGCAAGTAAGCTAACTACATCATATTTTCATAACCCAATTCAATGGATTTACGCAGCTCCAAATGATATTTTGGTTGGGATTTTTAATTTCCAACCAAAAGGTTTAAGTTCGACATGAATTTATCTTAATTGATCTAAATATTTTCAAAAAAAGTTAAAAAGATTCTATAGCTATGTATGTTTGAAGGTTAAGACTTGAGCTTCATTTGGGACGGCTTTATTGATGCTTATTAAAGCAATTTTTTAATTCAAATATTTAAATTTTTATACTAGAAAGCTGCTTCAAGAAGCAATAAGAAAATTATCTCAAACGAAACCTTAGGCTTGTTTTAGGATAGTTTTCTTATTATTTTATAAAGCAACTTTCTAGCAAAATATTTGTTAAACTAAAAATTTTTATATTAAACAGTTGCATGAGAAAGCAATAAAAAAATCATCCCACCAAAATGAAATCTTAGGCTTCACTTAGAACAACTTTCTTACTGTTTTTTCAAGCAATTTTTTAGTACAAAAATTTTAAGATTATAAAATTTTTGTACTAAAAAAATAAAAAAACTATCCTAAATGAAGACTTAGCATAAAATATGATCAAAAATATTGTTTTGGTATAAAGATAGACAATGTAAAGAAGCAAACAATATGACATTAATATCATTAAAAAAAAAAGAATGCACTAATATATATTCATTACTCAACTTCAGCAAAAACAAGAAACCAAAGCAACCATCCTCAGATGGTATACAAATATATATATCTACATTATATATTGAGACTGTTTTCTATCTTGTGTGTATAAACACCAACACAAAGAAAAAATAAAAAAATCTACAGTAATACTTCACCTGAAGAAGCTGTATTTGGGGATGCTTCCATTTCTACATCCTGCACTGGAAAATCAAAATCAAAATTGAAGTCAGGAATATCAAAATAAAGTGGCTCTGTTTGTCCATTATTCTCCAATATAGGACTATCTATTAAAAGCTTCTCTAAATACTCTGAAAAATCTATACTATTTTCCCCTTCTGCAGACTTGCATGAGTCTTCTTCCCCAATGGATATATGATCCACATTAGCGCACAAGTCATTAATGCCATTACAAACCGACTGAGAACTCTTTGATGGATCGGAACTTAACTCTATTGCTTCCATGAGAGATGGTTCATACTTTATAATCTGCTTATCAGATGAGCCTAATCCATCTTCTAAGGCAGGAAGCCTTCGCTTCTTATTCATCTCAGACCTCCATCGGCCGTTTATGTTCTGCTGCACCAGTTGGGATAAAAAAGTAGGACTCTGTACAGCCATTGCGAGAAATGAGAGCATCTGTTGTTGATTCAGTTCCATTACTTGGAGACGCTGCCTCAAATCATTTAGTTCGGCATCAGTGTTTTGTTGATGCTGCCTTACTGTTACCAGCTCCTGCATGAGAAGATTCTTATCTCTTTTGAGCCTTTCAATTTCCTCCTCAATACCAAATTGACCAACTTCAACGGCTTTGACAGAGGATGGTTTCCCTTGAATTTGTTGCTGCGGATTAATATTGTTGTAGGGTGATTTCTTTCGTGTGATAGTTTTTAATAGAACCTTTTGGCCTTTTACAAATCCATCATTTTTAAAGACCCACTTGTCATGATCAACTTTCCTGAAGCCCTGATTATAAAGAAAGATGTGAAGCACTTAGACAAATATAAATAATAATAAAGCCTATATATGAATTAATGGAGAATATATGGCTTAATTTAATCCATTAGACAAGAGCAAGTGTAAAAATGCGAGTAAAAAACATTAAATTTTTACACAGAAAAATAAAACCACGGTTAGGGAAGAAAAGTGCAAAGGAAGGTTTTCTATCTGGCTTAAAGGAGCCGTCAGCTCCCTGATAGGAAGTACTTGAGTTTGCAAGTAACCCTAAGGGGCAATACTTGAGTTCGCAAGCAAACCTATCAATAATTAGTGAAAACAGTGAGAAATAGGTTGATTTCAGAGAGAAATCAGCAAAACGATGCAGGAATTTTAGAAGATTGGAGAGAAAACACGATAAAACTTCTTCTATTCAATCCACGAACGAGAAAAGCAATGCAAGATACAAGTTTCTTCGATTCGAGAGGAAGAAACAACTCTCCAAATCTCTAGCAAAGCCTAGTGCCCAAAAAGAACAAACTCTAGATCTCAAATCTCTTCCAAATTCAAGATGGAAAGAAAACCCTAACCAAAAAGACTAATTAAAGCCAAATGACTCTTAAAAAAGACTAAACAGCCATTAATTCAAATTTTTCCTCCTAACAACAATTACATTAAACAATTGGGCCCACTAGGGCATCCGCCCCCGTCCCTTTGGTTCCACCCCCCCACCTGGCTCAGCCGGTCCAACCTTACTAAAATCTTGAATGCTTGTGGTCGCTAGACACAGGTTTACAGTTAAAGACAATACATACATAAAGTTTAAAACTAGTCAGTAAATATTAGATTTCCACTTAAATATCAAAGTCAAGGGAATAAAAGAAAGGACAAGAATGCCAAAATAAATAGTGCACAATCATAACAAAAACCAATCACTAGAAAATTATTGTCATACATTCCCGCACTTGCCAATCCTAATCCTCATTTCTTCTTTCTGGTGATTCTAAATCTGCTAGAAGCAGACATGAATGTTTTCTTGTAGAAGGGCGTTTTAAGCAAGTATTTGGGACAAACTTGATTCTTGTAGATAAAGCCAAGATGGCATTGAATTTTAGAAATAAACATGTTTTAAGAATAATGAAAGCTGTGGACAAGGTCAATTCCACTATGAGAAGATCAATCAGAGCTCAAGAGAATTTCATCAAGCATGTTTGAAGTGTAGTGAGCCATTAGAGTCCATAGGTTTATAATGCATAAAATGATTGCTATTTGCCTGAAGCCTGAAACGGGAATTTCAATCCTAAAATTCTTAAAAATATGCAAAAACTATTGTTTAATTCTTTCTCTAAATATATTGGAATTATGTTGGACCATATTTTTAGCAAAAATCCCATCATTTGACCATTATTCCATTTATTCTCATTAAAAGCAATTATTATTAGTAAATCATTAAATATAACAACAACAAAAACATCAACCTTTATCCCATTACATGGGGTCGGACACATGAATAATTTTTCTCTATTGTTGTATTAGAAGTCAAAATTTCATTTAAATCTAATTAAAAAAAAAAATCATTTTTAATACTTTTAAACAAGTATTTTTATATGTACATCTACCTTTCTTAACATAATACATTTACTCTCCTAACTGTGTCTTCAGAAGGCCTACAATTTATGAGACCAAATTATCTAAGGCGACTTTCTCTAATCTTATCTACCACTACAGCTACACCAATATTTTCACGTATATACTCATTTGGAATACTCTAAGAGTAAAGTCACTTAACACCTAAGCTTTCTCATCTCTGAACATTTAACTTAATTTTATGCTTCCTTTTTAATGGTCAATATTTTGCGCATAAAACATTGCATATCTCACCACCATTTTTTAAAAATATTCCTTCAGTTTGAGGGTACATTTCACCACCATTTTTTAAAAATATCCCTTCAATTTGCTACTGTTGACCTCGTTTTTCTCCCGATTTGCCATCGGACGCGCTTGATTGAATTGATCGAGCCTCGTCGGGCCTCTGATAGGTGTTTGATTATTTGGCCCTTCCAGTTTTTGCAACCAAAATGAAGTCTTTATCTGCTGCTCGGCCACATTTCTGTCGGAAATTTTGTTTTATTTTTTATTTTTGTTATTTGACACAGCTAGCTACTGTTAATGCTGGTTATTAGACTAATGGTGAAAACTGGTTGAAATTAATTTGTGGTCTACTCTTTGTTGAAGGAGAAGTCGTGCTCCTTGGATTTAGTGATAGTTATGTGGTTTTCTGGTTTCAGGAATACAGTTGGATGTCACAGCAGCACTGGTTCCATTTCGATTTTGCTCTTGCAACCAAACTTGCGGATTATCTAGGCAAGGACCGAAAATTCACAAAATGTCGAGAGATATTTGATGCCATGATCAAGCCATGTTGGCGTGATCATCTTAAAAGCAGAACTCCTAAACAAACAATTTAAATTAACATAAATTAAAAGCATAATTCATGGGCAATTATGTATTTTATAATAAAATCTCAAAAGCAGAACTCCTAAACAAACAATTAAAATTAACTTTAAAGTATTAATAAGCACTTTTAAAAATATTATTCAAACATATATCATTATTGAAACTCCATTTTATTGAACGGCTTTTTCTCAACCTCCTTTTTTAAAACTCCTTTTTATGTAAGCATAAACCGAATCAAACGAAGCCTAATTAAAAAAAATTATTTTTGATACTTTTAAACAAGTCTTTTTAGATGTACATCTATCTACCTTTCTTAATATAGGCTGGATCTAATACATTTACTCTCCTAACTGTGTCTTCAGAAGGCCTACAATTTATGTGACCAAATTGTCTAAGGCGACGCTCTCTAATCTTATCTACCACTACAACTACACCAATATTTTCACATATATACTCATTTGGAATTCTCTAAGAGTAAAGTCACTCGTACACCTGAGCTTTCTCATCTTTGAACATTTAACTTAATTTTATGCTTCCTTTTTAATGGCCAACATTTTGCGCATAAAACATTGCAGATCTCACCACCATCTTATAAAAATATCCCTTCAGTTTGAGGGTACATTTCAATCACACAAGAGGCCAGATGCATTCCACGATTTCAACCATCCAATTTGAGTTATACTAATAATATCCCATCTATTTCACCATTACTTTGAACAGCAGACACAAGACATCTAAAGCATGCACTCTTTTTAATAACTTGATTACTCAATATCATAATTCCGCCATTAGATTATTAATATTATAATTACACTATGTATTAGTAGTTAAACACAATGTAATAAATAAAAACAAATAATGAGGTGTCCTACTCTCATTGGTTTAGTCATCTTGTTTATGTTATTCAAGTCTATATATAGCAGGTCCTTTCTGTAATCTGATCAAGGAAATAATATAAGCTTTCTTTAATGTCTTTCATTTCTTTCTCTGCCTCTCATTCCCTGTCTTAGTCCAGATCTTGCAAAGCAAGATCTCTTACCTTTCTTCATGGTATCAAGAGCGGGCAATCAAGTAAGGTGAAGATGACGAACAGAGCTTCTTCCCAAACCGACGAACGTGAGGAATCGAAGACTCAAGATATGCTGGTCTACCCTGAAATTTGTCGTTTCTAATCTCAAATCCATTGTGCAAATCCAACTTACATCTAAAAATTACTCCATATGGAGATCGCAAATCACCAAAATTCTTCGCGCAAACGGTTTTGATTCTTTTCTTGACTCAAACATCTCAAAATCTACTCGATTTCTTGTTCAAATCGACAGTTCTTCCACGCCTAATCCCGATATTTCGAAATGGCTCCTCACGGACCAAAATTTGTCCGCCGCCATTTGTTCTACGATCTCCTCCCCGATTCTTCCATACATTATCCATCTTGATTCCACCTCCGAAATATGGATTACCCTTAAAACTCAGTTTCAATCCACCAATCGTTCTAAAGTTATTCAATTAAAGAACGAATTACATCATATTTCTCTCAAGAACTCCATGACTCAATGCCTAACTGAAATAAAATATTTGGTTGACAACATAGCTTCGGCCGGCTCCAAGGTGGATACCAAAGACATTATCCTGTATGTTCTTAAAATATTTGGTTGACAACATAGCTTCGGCCGGCTCCAAGGTGGATACCAAAGACGTTATCCTGTATGTTCTTAAATGCCTTCCACCAACTTACCAATTCTTTAAAACAACCATCAGAACTATGTTGACCCTATTAGCCTCGACTTCTTAGAAAAGAGGTCAATCTTGCTTCTGATATGTCTCGTCTTTCATCTATACCTGATCTGAACATAGCACTTGTTTCTAACCGTGGTCGAGGTCGCCGCAACCGAGGCCGTGGGTCTCATAATTTCAACAATTCAACTCAACCCGCAGCAAATCCCTCATTCGTTTGCCAAATTTGCCTCAAGAAAGGTCATGCGGCTCCTAATTATTGGCCCCAATATATCCCTAAGCCTTCAACATCCTCCACGGTCTGGTTTCTTGATTCAGGAGCATCTTCGCATCTCACTAATTCTCTTGAAAATCATATTGTTTCCTCTCCGTATCATGGTCCGGAAGGTATCACTATTGAGGACAACAGCTTAGTAAGTATAGCTAATTCTAGCGTAGGTTTGCTACCAACACCGACTCGTAAGCTTACTCTCTCTCAACTTTTTCATACTCCAAATCTTAAATACAATTTGTTATCCATATCTCAGCTTACTAAAGACAATAATATTTCTATTACCTTTCATCCTAATGGCTTCAAGGCTTTGTTTTGAAGGACCTGATGACACAAGAAGTGCTTCTTCGAGGACCATGTAACAATGGTCTTTATTCTGTCAAGACTACTATGGAGCTCTCGCATCAAGCGTACTCCGCAACCGCTTCATCATCCTCCTAGCACAATCGTTTGGGACATCCAAATAAATACATCTTACATGTTATTGCTGTTTCTAACCCTAATTTGCATATAGATCTTAAAAATAATTCTTGTAATTCTTGTAATCTTTCAAAAGGTATAGATCTTA